CGTGCCAAATCCTGCCGTGACACGGGGCCTCGGTTTTAAAGGTCTCATCCGAAGGACCCGCAACTTTCCCTTCAAAGTGCCCAGCGCATGGCGAAGGAACAGTTGCTATCCATTTTTTATCGACTTAGGTCAGTCGCGGCCGAGATTCGAACTCACGACCTCCCGATCACGGAGCGAGCGCTCTACCGACTGAGCTACCGTGAATGTTAATAGTGCTAAGAGGTAATTAAGTTTTCTAAATTCAGTAGGAATTTTTTGCATTAAATTATTAATTTTTAACAAACCCAATCCATCAATCATTGTATTCTCCTCTGTAGAAGTAATTTCCAGCAAATAATAATGCATAGCTGTGCAGTATGTCTAAAACATAAAAACAATATCAATATTATTCGTTGCAATGAAGTGTTGGGTTTACAAAACACTCTCAAGCACTATTGAAATACATGTGTTTTTTCGATAGCAGACGTTATTTCATTCTAGTAACAACGTTGTTTTGGATTTGAAAAGCATTCTCAACCACTATTGAAATAATTATTGCTATAGTGGTTGTACTTCAATAGTGGTTGCAAATAGATATTGTTATATAATCTTGAGTAATATGATTATGTATTACTAAAATACTTTGAAAAGCATTTCTGATGAAATTTAGAGACAATCTAAAATATCGTTTTTTTTTCTTTTAATTTTTATCTCCTTTGACCTAACTTTAAATTCAATATATATATATATATATATATATATATATATATATATATATATATATATATATATATATATATAATTTCCAATATTATTTTGGAGTACCGACAGGCGACTCGAGGGGTCCTGAAAACTCTTATTTTATGAGGACTGATATAACAAGTCAAATAAATTTTAATGTCTCTTGTTTGTTTAATAATAATTTAATAGGATCGGTATTTATACACAGATAGGTTCCGACACATAACACGATTTTGAACTTGAACTATCTGTTACAAGCTGATTCAGAGAATGTCCCCCGCTTAGGAAAAAAGATCCCCCCCCCCCCCGGATTTGTAGAATTATTAAATGTATATATGTATATTTAAGCAAATAAAAAATGCCAATATGGGTATAAAGATTTGATTGCTTATTCCTTAATACATGTATGTGTATAGAAGATTCTTTTTATATATAATATTTATCACAATGTAATAATGATTTTATGAGTTTGTACACGCCAGACGTCATAACTTTTTCATTTCACATGTTGAATAATATCATTTAGTAAATCAAAAAAAAAAAATAAAAATAAAAAGGATCGTTCGGGATTTGAACCCGGAACCTCTCACTTGCTAGGCAAGAATCATACCCCTAGACCACGCAGTCACTTACTTATATGGGAAATTAAATGCAAACATTAGGTCACATATAATGGATATATTCACGTTCAACAGTCAACATTTTTACACAATACATGATGTCTAATTTAGCCTTCACAAAACAGTTCTAATAGATGTAATTAGAATATAAAGTCCGCCGACAACCTGTATTATATGTAATAACTCTCCACATGCCCCTGTGCTAAAAAAAGTGCCAAGCGACTTTTAATACAATAATAAAAAAAAAAACGGGGCGGGACACTTTGAGAGGGCCGAGAGAGGCCATAGGGAGTTATGGTATAAAATTTAATTGCAAAAGCTCAAAAGCTTTTCGAGACATCGCCCGGAAACGAAAGTTTTACACACAGACGGAATGTATGAATTTACGACCTTGAACTTTGACCTTTTGACCTCAAAATCAATAGGGGTTTTCCTTAGGCCACAGGAAAGTGTTATATAAAATTTGATTGCAAAAAACTCGAAGGATTCTTGAGATATCGCGCGGAAACGAAAGTGTTTTACACAGACGGACGGACAGACAGACCCAAATTAATATCCCCCACTTTCAGTGAAAGCGGGGGACAAAAACTTCATGCAATGTTTGTATTTTACCGAAATGCACCTTTTCTTGAAGTTTCAATTTGATGTGATTTAAAATGAAAGTTCTAAACTTTTTATTCAATAAAATACCGACTACTCCAAGAGAGATAGACGGACAGAAAAACAGAGAGAGACGGACAAGGTGGGCCTTCTGTGTTTACTATGCCAAGCAGGCTACACGATAAAGTTAACTTTTTTAAAGAAAAAAAAAACTTAGAGAAGACCTATCAAGTAAAGGAGATGGGTGAACATGACGAGCGATAAGCCTATAGTGTGACAAACATGAAGATGAAAAATTAAATTTCAATTATATCAAAATTTTCCTTGATATTTCGTCTAACATTAAAATATACTTTATGTAAAATCTCTACAATTTGCAAAAATCCCTCAAAGATTGAAATTATTTGCCTGTGAAATATAAGACACACACTAAAGCGGGCAAAAAGATTCATTTTCGCATACTACAACACTATTTTTCGATATGAGTGGGTCTTCGCTCCACCTTTTTGAAAGTTAATTCTCAAAGTTTGCATAAAAATACATTTTTTGGTTACCAAAAATATGGAGCAATGACCCACTATACCTTAAAAATATACTTTTATGACATAAAATTTGCATTTTTTCGAGAAATATTTGAAGTCCATTAAGTCAAGGGTCATATCACAAACATGATTTAAATGCCACTGTTTGTCAGGACTTGTGTAGTCTAGTGGTTAGCGTGCTAGTCTCGAAAGAAAATGATACTCAGGATTTTTATTGCTAGGGTTCGAACCCCACGAATACCACATTAATTTTTTTTGATAAAAGAATAAATTTTTCCGAGAAAATTTTCCTTAGAAAAGTTTTGTTTATCACAATTTCATAAATTTCAATAATGAGAACTTTACTCTAAATATTCAATTCACAAACTGAACATGATTTTTTTTATTTCTGAAGCTATAGGCTTTCTTCACGCTATGTTCGCCCATCTCCAAATTTATACGTTTTCATGAAGGTATAAATAAGAGTAAGACGAATCCTAAAAACATTTCATTTCTTTCACTTGTTTTTCCTAGGGTTTCTAATGAAGAAATGTCTTACCCTGGCTTTTATCCATGTACTTTTTTGGTGTACCATCACATAACTGTGTCCTTGGTATTCTTTTGTGAGACCAGAAACTATGAAAAATGAGTGTTAAAGTAAAAAAAAAATAAATTTACAAATAAGTGTTCGATCCACGCGCGGAGTGAAATTAAAAATGCACACTAGTTACATCATGAAAGTATTAGACAACTCAAAGCAGAACATACAGACATAAGTAAAGTATTCCCATCCAGATCCAAGAGGAGCTTGTAATGTGGTCGAGTTGAGGAAGTGAATGTCATGGCCTCTACATTTCAGCTCAGCAGACTGGTAACTGAAGGAAAAACATGATGTCGTCACAAAGCAAACCATGGCACACTCTACAGATGACGAAATGAGTGTTCTTTCATGAGGATTAACTGATATCTCCGCATTATCATAGGATGAAATGCGAACGAAGATCTGGGTGTTCTCAGTAGATGTGGCTCTAAGCAGTATTAAGAGTATTCCAATTTTTAATTTAACAGCTTTGGGACTCTCTCCGATAAATTTTGACATTGTTGCAAAAGAAAGCCTGAGATTGAAATTTTAAGTTGATATCATCCAGTGACACCTAATCTATGCTTTGCTAGAATAAAACATTTGTACTATGTACTGTCAATATTTTACAACAAAGAAAGTAAACATTGAAGCCCTCGGTACAAATGAATGTTTTGTTGTTTTTTTTTAATTTTGTATTGATTAGGTTAAACTGTCTAACAATCATTTTTAAAACCACAGCGAGAATGCATTTATTTTTTACTCCATCGAGCGTCCTCAAGTTCTGCCAGAATCTGCTAACTAGTTGACTTACTCTTTCCATTACTGAGAATTTCTTTTGTTTGCGTCGATCTTTTGTTTGCTTACTTGGTGTTCAGGATAAAATATGGAAATAACAAAGAGGATGTGTGATACATTAGAAATCGTTTTCTAAATTTCAGGAGTAAGAATACAAAATTCAACTCTGTCCTTCACTTGTTCGAGTCACTGAAATAGTACAAGACTAGTTTGGATGTCAACTGAAAAGACCTTTTCAATTTGAAATGAAATCTAAATAATATTTTTTAAAAAATGAGCTTTTAAACTGATAAAAAATTGAGAATGTTTATAATCAATTTGCTTAGACAGATGTGGGGAATTTTTATGGAATGTTATATCAAAAAAACAGTCATTGGTAAAATTCTGTAATATTTTAAATATCTAAATCTTACTTCCGGTTTACATATGGTCAGGACAAGAGTATACTATTTTTGTCTAAGTGTTCTTATTACTCATGGACTCCATGACTATTATGGTTTTATATCAGGAAACTTTAAAAGTATACGTAGACATGTTTTTCCAAGTACCATTACATAATACGAATGAGGAAAAGAATAAATATCCCAAAAACTTCCTCGATGTTCGCCCTTGTAATCATGATTGTATACACCTCTCATTTATATCACTAATTCTTCATGTAAAAATCTTTTTGTAGTTGTTCATGTAATACTATAAATCTGATCTGTAATTTCTTTCAACATACATGTATATATATACATGTACTAATCAACACTCTAGAGTTTGGTTGTTAAAGGTATATCCAACCAATTATAACAAAATAAAGGTAAGGTCATTAATCTTGTGTCTACTCGATGTGTTGATATTTTTTGAACGAATGTAGACCATAGCTAATTTTGAATTGTTTTAGTCTTGTAAATTCACAGTCACGTGGTACTTCTTCCTCTTGAACATGCATTTTATTTCCTTGTTAACTTACAAAACATTTTGGAGCGAACAATCTTTTATCATTAAATCAAAGTACAGAGAGGAGTTCCATGGGTATAATATTTTTTTTTCTTAAAATATTTGCTGTAGTATTTTAAATACATATACTGCTACATCTTATATGCTCTCACATTTTGATTATTTACCTTTTTTATTTTCGCGGTACCCTCATTTAAATATCCAGTTATATTTTAGATGGTTGATTGGATAAACTTGAAAAGCAACAATGGCAGATCTCGCGAGCATCACAGGTATGGTAACTGCCGAGGACGTACCGATTGCGATAGAATATCGGAGTCGTCGGACTTTTTCTGGCGTCGTTTCAGCCTGCGTATGCTCTATTTGTCTTGTCATTATTATAGTGTTTTCCACGGTTCAGAGATTTGCTGGCCACAGTCCTGTAGTTTGGGGTTTAGAAGCCATCTTAACAACAATAGGTGGCATCTTCACCTATGCTCTATGGGTAATAATTCATAAACATGGCGAACAAAATATTCAAAAAAACACTGAAGATGTGACAATTCGAATGAAAATAATATTCCTGTGGCTTTTTGGAATCGTAAACATCCTCAATTCTGCCATTAACATGGCAATAAATTGTGATTGCATAGCAAAAGATGGAAAAGAGCAGTTCCCAGGAGATCAGGAAGTCAGTATTGCAACACATATTTTTGAGATAATATTCAATACAGGACAGCTTGGATTTATCAGCTCTTATTCCCCGTACAGACTGAAGTCGTCAACCTTTTTAAATTACGGGATATCAACTATTATTCTAACACATGTTATTCGATGGTTTAGAACACTTTTTGCATCACTCTTGAATAATAATTTGATTTCAATAAAAAATGAGTCTAATACTTTTCGAAATAATTGCTTCTGGACGTCGGAGTTGTCCAGCTTTCGAAAGGAAATAGAACCCTGGATTGAACCAACGTTAACAGAATATAGCCTACTGGCAGTTTCGTTAATGCTGCGAATGTGGATATCATCTGAGGAAAAAGCCAAAGAAACCTCTAATTTCTCCATTCATAACGAGAGAACGCCTCTGCTGAACCAAGCTTCTGTTCAAAGCTTAAATTCTTGTGTTTCAAAAGGAATATCAACCAACGAACACAGCCTTCAATTTGCATTGAAAAATTCCTCAGTCTATATATGTATACTGGTGGGTATCATGCTTTGTCTTCCAATACTGACCACCGTGATCATGGCTTCAGCAGTCCAGACATACACATATCATTACCAGCTTTCCACGGTCATTGTACAGTGTGTATTTAAGGTAGAACTATTTACAATCATTCTTCTGGCTTACTTTTTCTTTTATAAACAGTACGAGGAAGAGATGAATGCGGACAGGTTTAACAGCAGTCGCTTTATCCTAATTCTTTGTACTGCCGGTTCCATTGCATACAGCACTTTCGGATTAATTGCGGGATTTATGAATAAACATGCAGAATTTCATGCAGTTGCCTCGGCATTAGTCGTTCAAAAGCTGTTTGAGATAACCTGTATCTATCTTCAGACCGTTCTGATTCTTCAGTCGTCTTCATACAACACGGTTCGTCTGAAGACCTTCTCGAAAGGCATACCGGTATATAAAATATATTGTGTTCTGTTCATAATTAATATTACGATGTGGCTAGTTAATAGCTACATGGGGAAGGATAATTCCAGGATCATGTCCGTGGAGACCAGGTTCTACGGCACTTATTACTGGAGAGCTGTACATGACGTCGTTTTTCCTATTACCATTTTCTACAGATTCCACACTGCAATGGACATTTATCAGTTATACAGAAAGTACGAAACTTTGCACACTCTTCGTGATAAGGAAATCTAACATTACGCTTGTTTCCAGAAATTCGGCACATACCAGATTTCATAAGATATTACATCAGCATTATCAATTCATAATGTTTTTTGGTAAATATCTTCTGTGAGTTTTGTCGAATGTATATCTCAACAGCGTTTAATGAGTTATTTAAGTTTTTAAAATACATAGGAAATAACGCTATTCTCATTGGATGTTACATCTTTATGATGAACTTCCATGACGGGATGCATGCTAGGACTGCAATAAGTCTGTTACATGATACTAACATCCATACCTTGCTCAAAATTACTCTTCAGAGTTTTGCTCACTTTATGTTGACGTCTGAACAAAGTAGATTTTATTTGGAGGGAAAATTCCAGATGCTTTAATCTAAGACATATCCCATTAACCCCTTCCTCTCCCCCTCTCCTCGCGGAAACGCATTAAACTTTGGACAAGCTCTGCAGGTGCCCTTTTGTGAACAGTATGTCGGTCCTCTCGTCTAGATGTCCGTCCAATATCATTTGTCAAGAACATATTGTCTCTCCTCTTGTTTCATCCACAGAGTGCCTTTCGGTAAAGGGTGTGCAATTATCTTGAATCAATTTTGTAGATCATAGGTCAAAATGCATCTCTGTGAAAAATCCTTGTTTACAGCATATTTTCTCTTCCCTAGGCCTATTCTGTTCAAACTGTACCCATAAAGTTGGAAAATGGTGTTAAACCCTAATCGGTAGCATTTTTTCTCTTGCCTTAACCCATTCTGGCTCATTCTTCATCCATGAAGTGCTCGTGAGTAGAGGGCAGTGACCTTGAACCAATTTGTACATCAAAGATCAAAGACATATCTGTGTAAATTCCTTCTCCGGATCATATCCACCCCCCTTGATTCTATCTGGCTCAGCGTACCCCTGGGTAAAGGAATCAAGTTTCTGAGTCAAGGTCCAGATGATGTTAAATCTGTCCGAAATCCTTGTCCTCTTCCTTTATCTTAAAAAAATAATTATGGTTATATTAAAGACCAATTGACATATTATCTAAATTTAAAGCAGTGATTTAGGCAATATGCATGGGATCCTCGCATCTCAAACGAACATATTGTTTGATACCAAGTAAAGATTTTTTGTAAAGCTATCAGAATACAAGATTTAAACTGTTTTGCCCTATTTTATAAATTTTGCGTTAATCTATTGGATGAAAATTTAAAAAAAATCGTTTTCATCTTTTTAGGTCACCTGAGTCACTCCGATGACCTACTGCTGTCTATTTTTGTCCGATGACGTGCGACAGTTGTAAACTTTTAAGGTTTTGCCAAAGGTCAAGATGTCCAAAAATTTGTTTTTACAATAGCTCCAAAACTATGTGATGTATAAGGTTAAAACTTTCACAGTTTATAAATATATCATTGATTAACAGATAGAAAGTATCGCTTGAAAACAAATATTTTAAAAAAGAATATTTTTTGAGAAAAAAATGCACCTGCTTAATTCTGCACTTTTAGTGAAAACCATCATTGCAGAAATAATATATGTTTATCAATGAAGGGCAAGTTGGACGTGAATTTTCTCTGTAAGGCTGTTATTGAAAGCATGACATGTATAAAGACAAGACCCCTATAAAATCCGCCCTTTGCAATGTACTTTCGGTTTCATATCTTAACATTTGGTCAAAATAAACAGGGAAAACAACTTTCCAGAGGCTATCGAAGTCTAACTTGCCCTTCATTGATAAACATATATTGTTTCTGCAATGATGGCTTTCACTAAAAGTACGGAATTAATTAGGTGTATTTTTTTTTAAATATATGCATTTTTTTAAAGAATTTTTCTCGATAAATATTTTTGTTAAGTATTTGTTATCGAGTGATACTTTCTATCTGTTAATCAATGATATATTTATAAACTGTAAAAGTTTTAATTTTATAAACCACATAGTTTTGGAACTATTGTAAAAATAATTTTCTGGACATCTTGACCTTTGGCAAAACCTTAAACATTTTCATCCTCTTCTTTAGAAACAGTGAACCAATTTCAACCCATTTGGCATAAAGTATCTATTGGTGAATGGGGCACAGAAAGTGTGAAATTCTTGGCCCCTGTCCCCCTGGAGCCTGAGTAGTGAGGAAAATAATGTAATCTTTAAAAATCTTCTTTACTCCTGGACATCAAGCAGTCCAACTATAGGCATGATTTTAATAATCACTGAGCCATATACTAAAATTGTGAAATTCATGGCCCCAGGGTCAGGAGGTACTGGTGCTAGTTCGGGGATCTGTTGAATAATAGTGAAAATGCAGTATTCCTTTAAAAAAAATTCTCCTCTGCTCCTGGGTATTCAGAAATTAAATGCATAGTTAAGATGAGCAAGGGTGTCTCTTCCAAAATTGTCAATTTCATGGCCCCTGGGTCAGGGTTTATGGTGTTAGGGCGGGGCTCCGTTAGTCATTTAATCATATAGTGAAAATGCATTAATTCTTTAAAAATCTTCTTTAAATTTGCTCCTTGTTATTACATGCAAGCCGATGAACCGAGTGCACAGTTATAATGAGAAAGGGTGCCTCTTCCAAAATTGTGAAATGTGTGGCCCAGGGGTCAGGGATTAAGAGGGGTGTAGGGGCTCTATTGATTAAATAGTGAAAATGAATTAATGCTTTGAAAGTCTTCGCTGTTATAATGAGCAAGGGTGCCTCTTCCAAAATTGTGAATTTCATAGCCCTTGGGTCAGTGGTTTGTAAGGGAGGGGCTATTTTAATTATATAGTGAAAAGGCATTAACTATTTGAAAGTCTTCCTCTATTCCTGGGAATTTAACAAACAAACTAAAAGTTATTAAAAGCAAATGTGCCTCTTCCAAAACTGTGCATTCCCTGGCCCATGGGTCAAATTTTCTGATGCTAAGGTTGGACTCTATTTATTATAAAGTAAAATGCATCAATTCTTTGAAAGTCTTCTTCTTTGTCCCTGGGTAACCAGCATATAAACCAAGTGAATAATTATGATGAGCAAGGATGCCTCTTTCAAAATAAGAAATGTGTGGCCCCAGGGTCAGGGTTCCTATGGGGTGGAGCTCTATTGATTATACAGTGAAAATGCATCATTTCTTTGATAATCTGCTTTTAGGTGTTAAGTAAACAAAGCATATAGTTATGAGCAAGGGTGCCTCTACCAAAATTGGGAATTTCATGTGCCCTGCATGGTTCAGGAAGTGTTAGGGTGGGGTTCTGTTGATATATAATTAAAAAAAACAATTGTTTGAAAATCGTCGACAATGTGCATAGTTATCATGAGCAAATGTGCCTTTTCCGGGCCTCTTTTTTTTATATATATTATTTTATACACCTGTGGTCCTTTACAGTGTTGTATCGTACTCAGGGACCGTAAAGGCCCTTGGGCTTTTTTCTTTTGTTTCTTGTTTTTTTTTTTTGGGGGGTGCTTTGTTTTTGTTTGTTTTTGTTTTTTTGTTTTTTGTTTTTGCTTAACCGATACGGTAATATCAATTTTACCCCATATATAAACTATTATTTTGCTTAAAGCAATATGAGCTGCATTTTGGAGAATTTTCTTTTGCTGTTAAAATGTGTTATCATGATAAATTTGTATGTAATTTAAACCTTTTTGATCAATTATACAGAAATAAAGTATCAAAATGTTTCAGAATAAAGGATTCTGCACAATCAAATATACAGTATTATAGAAGAAATCAGTATTGTACAGGACGACAATAACGTAATTTTGCTTTAATCAAAGCTTTTAAATGGTTCTTCCATTGTAAATATGAACAGCAGTAGTTTATAAACGTTCTTTTTTCTGTCATTGAAAGGGCAGCTCATATTGGATGAAGGGTTACGTCCTGTACTTACTGAAGACATTTTAGTAATGTCTGCTGTCCAGGTAAACAGGGACAATAAAAATAAAATACATTTCTGTTATAGCCAGCATAAGTTGTATATATATATATATATATATATATATATATATATATATATATATATATATATATATATATATATATATATATATAATATGTGTGTGTGTGTGTGTGTGTTCTTCTGTGTGCTTTTCTTCAGATGAAAACTGTACTCGTAACTTTCTTTATCCAATTTATCGAAAGCAAGAAATATGTTGCATTTATAGTCAATCGAAAAAGCGAGAGAGCGAATCTTTCAAATATCTATCTTCATGTTGACATGTATTCAATATAATTGTAAATGACATACTAGAAAGTACGGGAAAAACAATCTTGTCTTCACCTGTACATAAAGAGTTTTCCAACGTATTATTATACCCGCACTTTCTAAAGAAAGTTCGGGTATATTGTTGTTACTCATGTCTGTCCGTCCGTCCGTCTGTCTGTCACACCCTTCTTTCTCAAACTCCTCTTACATTTTACACAGTAGCTTAATCATCTTTTTGGAGATGGTTGGTGGTGTCCTGTAGATGTGCAGTAAGGTTTCGGAATTTTCATTTTCACCCTCGGGGTCAAATGGGGGTCGAAAAATGACGTTTTTTATGGAAAGAGACCCTGGTTCCCTGACCTCCTCCTACATTTTACACAACAACCTAATTATCTTTTGGATTGATTTTGATTGATTATTATTGTTTAACGCCGAGTCGGCAATATTTCAGCCATATTTCGGCGATCAAATTAATTGTATATTCTAATTTATGAATTTTGTCACAAATTTAAGAAAAGTGAGGTCAAGTCAAAGGAAAGGTCAAGGTAAAAAAATATTAAAGCAGTTGAATAGCTCTCATTAGTATGTATCGGCATAGGAAATTTGATTTAAATATCTTGAATGATTTCATTAAAACTGAGCATAACACTAATTTAAGAAAAGTGAGGTCAAGGTCAAAGGAAAGGTCAAGGTAAAAAAAATGTTGATTCAGTTGAATAGCATACATCAGTATGTATCAAGGTAAGAAGTTTAATTACACTATCTTGAATGGTATCTTTTAAACTGAGCTAAACACTAAATTAAGAAAAGTGAAGTCAAGGTCAAAGGAAAGGTCAAGGTCAAAAATGTTGATGCAGTTACATAGCTCTCATCAATATCTATCAGCATATGAA